CTGCCTCATCGAAGGCCTGTTTTGAAACAGAATGGAGCTCGACAGATCATTAATAGTAGAGTATGAGGGGTGCTTCTTGTCTGCTTTCACCTTAAGAAAATATACAAAGGACATGTAAGTTCTCTGTAGATGAAGCGACCATTCATTTGACTCAACGTAAAGGCTTTCTACAGGGCTTGTGCGAAAAGCACCCGTAGAAAGGCGGATGCCCAAATGGTGCACGGGGTCCAGCATCTTCAAGGCACTTTGAGTAGCAGACTGATAGACAACGGCCCCATAATCTAAGCGGGTGCGAATGAGGCTTCTATAGAGGTTCATGAGGCATTGCCTATCACTACCCCAAGTAGTACGTGACAACACTTTTAAAACATTCATGGCTTTTAAACATTTTGTTTTTAGATACTTGATGTACGGCACGAAGGTCAACTTGTTGTCCAAGATTAGGCCTAAGAATTTATGCTCGGCTTTGACGGACAGACGTTGCCCGTTCAGTCGAATGTCAGGTTCCGAGTGCATGCCTCTCTTTCGAGAGAACAAAACACACGTGCTTTTTTGTGGGTTCAGTCGGAATCCGTTTTCCTCTGCCCATTTGGAGAGCTTGTTTAAACCTAACTGAACCTGCCGCTCACACAATGCCAGATTGCAAGACCTAAAGCCAAGCTGGACGTCGTCGACATATGTGCAATAAAACATATTGCGAGGGATGGTCAAGCGCAAGGAATTCATTTTTATGAGAAAAAGTGTGCAGCTAAGTACACCACCTTGTGGCACGCCTGTTTCCTGAACAAATGTTTGGGAAAGAACCGTGCCCACTCGGACACGGAATGTCCGGTTTGACAGGTAACTTTTGATTATGTGAAACATTCTTCCGCGCACGCCAAGGTGGGAAAGGTCTCTTAGAATTCCGAAACGCCATGTTGTATCATAAGCCTTTTCGATATCGAGGAACACAGAGAGAAAATATTGTTTATGGACGAAGGCGTCTCTGATCTGTGCCTCGATACGAACAAGGTGGTCTGTGGTGGATCTACCTTCTCGAAACCCGCACTGAAATGGGTCGAGCAAATTATTTGTTTCAAGGAAATGTACAAGTCGGCAGTTTATCATTTTTTCGAAGACTTTGCACAAGCAGCTTGTAAGTGCTATAGGCCTATAACTCGAGGGTAAAGAAGGGTCTTTGCCCTCTTTCAAAATGGGAATAATAATAGCCTCTTTCCAGGAGGTAGGGATAGCGCCAGAAAACCAGATAGCATTGTACAAACAAAGTAAGGTTTTTCGTGTTTCGATTGGTAGGTTTTTTAACATTTCATACACCACACGGTCAGAACCTGGGGCAGAAGTACTGCAGGAGTTTAGAGACATTTGCAGCTCAGCTATACTGAAAGCTTGGTTATATGCCTCGGATCTAGTGCATTTGTGTTCAAGTTTCTGCTTTTCTATTCTTGTTCTGTATTTTTGGAAAGTGTCAGTATAGTGGGATGAGCTGGACACCTGTTCGAAGTGTGCACCGAGGAAGTTTGCCTGATCTTCCAAGGTATCACCCCGAGTGTCCACGAGTGGAAGTGTGTGTACTTGTTTTCCTGCTATCCTACCGACCATGTTCCAGACTTTAGCCTCCTGTGTGTATGAATTGATCCCTGACAAAAACTTCTGCCAGCTTTCTCTTCTGGCCTGCCGACGCGTTCTCCTGCCTTGAGACTTTATTTTCTTGAAGGTGTCAAGATTTTCGGCTGTCGGTGAGTTCCGAAGCAGCCTCCAAGCTCTGTTTTGCTGTTTACGCGCGTTTCGGCATTCAGAGTTCCACCATGGCACACGCCGTTTTCCAGGGTGTCCATTTGTTTGTGGGATGCATTTTGTTGCAGCATCAATCAAAAACGCTGTGAAGAAGTTGACAGCAACATCAATGTTCAAAGTACATATGTCATTCCAACCTAGACGAGCGATGGTATAAAACTGTTCCCAGTCGGCTCTGTTTATGAGCCATTTGGGAACACGTGTACACTCAGTTACTGTATTTGTGCTCAAAACTACGGGGGAGTGGTCACTTCCGTACAGATTACTGACGACTTTCCACTGGAGTAGAGGCACAAGAGATGGAGATACTATGCTTAGGTCTATGGAGGAGTAGGAGTTATTGGCGAGATTATAATAGGTTGGTTCTTTTCGATTTAGGAGACACGCGCTCGACGAGAGAAGGAACTGTTCGATCAGTCGACCTCGCGTGTCATACCGAGAGTCACCCCATAGCCTGCTATGCGCATTAAAGTCTCCAAGGAGAACATAAGGTTCCGGAAGTTCATCAATTAAAGAGTGTAAATCACGTTTTTGCAGCTGATAGCTAGGAGGAATGTAAATAGTGCAGATTGTGATCAGTTTATCAAAAAGAACCGCTCGAACGGCCACTGCCTCAAGGGATGTTTGGAGTTGTAAGTGTGTGCATGCAATTCCTTGATTCACTATGATGGCAACACCTCCGGATGATGTCATGGCATCATCACGGTCCTTTCGAAAAATAGCGTATTTACGAAGTAACTTTGTGTGTTTTGTATTAAGGTGTGTTTCTTGTACACACAGCACTTTTGGTGAGTGTTCGTGTAAGAGTTCTTGGATGTCGTCAAGGTTTCTGAGAAGGCTCCCGACGTTCCATTGTATAATTTGAGTGTTCATTGTGAATGTAAAATAATGCTGTGTGTACGAAAAGCGAGTGGCTGTTTAGACGGGGAGTTTGAGTTCACTTAACGGGACCGTTACCAGGCCCTGTTATTTGCTTTTTTGTTTTCTTGGCGCGCTCCAAGGAGCCATGCCGCTCTTTCGGCACCAAGGGTGCCGACGTATCCATTGCCTCCTCGGAGGCACTGGATGCCCACACGTGCGAGCTGGTGGTTCGGATTTTAGGCCTCGCCTGGTGAGGGGAGGCCTTGAGACCAGAGGACCCTGGAGTCTCCGGCCTCAATTCGCTAGGAGGCGGAGTAGACTGAACTACTGCCGCCTTGGGGGCAGGTGCCACAGCCGTCGGCTCGCTCTGCGCTGGCCGAAGGAGTGACGAGGGCTGGTGCGGCGTTGCCCCCTGACGCGCCGCATCAGCATATGTAGCGCCATAAAATGGCGACACCCTTCGTCTTGCTTCCTTGAATGTGATATTTTCTTTAATTTTCAATGTGATGATTTCCTTTTCTTTTTTCCAAAATGTGATGATTTCCTTTTCTTTTTTCCAAAATGAGCAAGACCGTGAGTATGCGGCATGATTTCCACCACAGTTCACACAGTGTGATGGTTCTTCGCAATTGTCAGAATTGTGGCCTGACACTCCACATTGTGCACAGGTTTGGTGACCACGACAGCTTTGTGAGCCGTGGCCATACTTCTGGCATTTAAAACAACGACGTGGGTTAGGTATGTATGGTCTGATCGACGTCTTAGTGTACCCTGTTTGAATACTTTCTGGCAGATTACTGGAAGCGAACGTGAGTATTAGGTGTTTTGTTGGTGTTACCTTGTTGTCTCTTCTAATGGTGATCCTTTGTACATTGGTCACATTCTGACTCTTCCACCCCTCCAGAAGTTCCTCTTCAGTCAAGCCGAGCAAATCAGCATCAGATACTACTCCACGGGTTGTGTTCATGGATCTGTGTGGCGTTACAGTGATGGGAGTGTCACCAAAAGTTGAAAGTTTCTGTAGCTTTTCAAACTGTTCTTTTTCTCGAACTTCAAGGAGGAGGTCTCCGCTGGCCATTTTGGTAACTTTGTACCCGGCTCCTAGAGTTTCTGTGAGACATCTGGCTACTAAAAAGGGGGATATAGTTTTGGCTTGCTTACTGCTTATCTCACTATGTATAACATGAAAATGGGGAAAATTTTCTTTTGATCGATTGAAAAAGCCAAAGTCTTCGGTGCGTACGCGCTTTAAGGCGGTACGATCACTTAACAAGGGAAACGCTCTATGCATACCAGTTTAATTTTCTTCAGAGGCGTTGGCGGCCACCCACCACGGAGCCCAACGAGGGGACGCTACAAGTTTGCGGATGCTAAAACCTGCAGACGCCAGCCGTTCAACGCTACTATAACCCAATGCGCCTAGACCAAGGTAGGCTATTTGCACAGGGTTAACCCTAGCCGCCAGGAAGTTTAAAAGTAGGCAGAAGAGAGTAGAATACAGGACAGATAAATAGTGAGAGATAAAGACGAAGATATAGGGAGAGAGAGATAGGAAAAGGCGACTGCCGATTTCCCCTGAGTGGGTCAGCCCAGGGGTGCCGTCTACGTGAAGCCGGGGCCAAAGGGGTGTGTTGCCTCTGCCAGGGGGTCTTAAAGGTCCAATCACCCAGTGTCGGCTCAACCCCCAGGATCCCCTTTTCCCCGGACACGGCAAAGCCACGCACGGCTAGGCTTGGGAGGGAGCCAAAACTCCCCCATTAGCTCCGGTCCGTGGTGTCGCTACACACCAAACGCCTACTTGTGCAGGCGCCCCTGGGGGCAGAAGCGACACTGTCAACTCTACAACTGTTCTGTAGGGCCTTCAGAAACAGCTGTTCAACTTGTCTAATCTAAATGAATACCTATCAGCAAAATGTAGCTGAGGCAGTATGAATGGAGTGCTGTTTATGAAATAATCAAGACTGACATTGCCAACACTATAAACGTTTTGTGGGAACTTAATCGAACAGCTTGACATAAATTTTACAAAAGGATCAACATGATGATGATATGTGGTGTTTTATGTTGCACGGGAACAAAGTATCAACAACCAAAGCGATTCCATAAATCCACTTTCACAGTGCTAAGGTATCGAACAAGTACTTCGCTTATTAACAGACCTAAAATGCATGAAGCTTTTTCAACAATTACTTTACAAAATGAAACACTGCATTTATTCAAGAACAATGCCTTGTAAATTCAGAAAAAGTCCAAGCCATCTACTTCATAACTGCAGCCTTTGGTGAGATGTACGCTTCTTTTGCTTGTTTGAAAATTGACCTTGAACATGACAGATAAACACTTACATGAGATGGGTGAAGAAATTTGGCTGTTCTTTTCAATGGCTGAAATCCACTGCTTCATGTCTTTCATGTTGAAAGCGATGAACTGAAATGCAAGATATTTCATTGGAAATTTCGACGTGTAACAACCACAGTGCAGACTTAATGCTGTCAAATCTTTTAATCTTTCGTTAAGGGTGCTCACGATGACATTTAACTCATCTTAATTGCAGGCTTGAGGCAATGAAACATTATTAGATATGCGGGGTTTAACGTCCCAAAACCATCATATGATTATGAAAGACGCCGTAGCGAAGGGCTCCGGAAATTTTGATCACCTGGGGTTCTTTAACGTGCACCCAAATCTGCGCACATAGACCTACAACATTACCGCCTCTATCGGAAATGCAGCCGTTGTAGCCGAGACTCGATCCCGCTACCTGTGGTTCAGCAGCCGAGTACCACAGCCACGAGACCACAGCGGTGGGGCATTGAAACATTATTATTAGTAGCTGTAACATATGTACCCATAAGAAAGGCCTACCCACTCTTCTGTACCTCAAACTTTCTATTTTTGCACTTGAAAAGCCCAATAAGTTATGTCCTAACTTGGCAAGTATGTAGTATTCATAAAAAATCATCACCTAGGATTCCTAGTGGAATCCTGAACTATGCGATCCTTGTTTATACTAATTAATATTCTTTTGAATGTTGTACATTTTTAGAAAATAAGATGGGTGATTAAGTGAAGAAGCAAACTTAAAAAGGCACCTCTAAACGAGACAGCTTTTTAAAACAGATTAGGCAAGTTTAATCCTGGCCTTCGAATTGCTACAAAGCTTAGGAAATTATTATCTGTTGCACATAACCTAATATTATCCACATAATATAATACTATATCCTAGTTGAAAGACTATGTTTCAAGAAAATATGCAAGGTGTAAATCACTAAACAATAGTGATATGCAGGAATCCTACTAAAAAGGAATCTTGCAATGACAGAGGTGGACATTTAAAATATTATTGACTTATTTTGGTGCATGAATCAAGCACTTTGGTGGGGTACGGCACTCATTATGCATACTAATCAAAATACAAAAAAAATTAAAGTACACAAGTGTGGTGAACATTGGGTTGTTGAAACATTAACTCCGAGGTGTGTCAGAACCAGCCTCTGGTTTGAATCCACAATAATGCAACACAATATTTATAGGAGGATTAAGAAGAAGAACAGCAAGCAGTTTACCCCTGGAAATTCTGTATTTCACTTACAAGCATAGCTTAAAAGATATGAATCAGCCCTAACCTGATAAGTTTTCTTCCCAGGACAGACGATTTCAAAGGCAGCGTCCTTCTTGGAAGCATCTTTGGAGGCGTACACAAAAGGCCGTGCCTCATACATGTCCAGTGCTATCTGCCCCTTTTGACGCTTATCAGTTGGCTTCTCGTACAGAAAGAGGTAGCCATCACGAACAGCACACCAGCGCTTTTGAAATGGGCTAAGCAGGCCTCCCAGTCTCTCTGCACAAGACAGAACAGCCAATGAAACAGTGTAAATTGGACAAGGCTGCATTTACACTCTGGATCCGTGTAACTCTGGCTCCGTGTCAAGACTGAATGCTGCGAAAGAAATGCTGCTAGTAGTCACACGCAGCACTCCAGCTTGCAAACTGATTAGATGTATCCACAAACCTTTTCCTTTTTTCTCAAGGAACCCTGTCTTGTCAGCCTTGGACATCTCACTTGCTGGAATGTCAATAAGGGGGCCTGCAATAACATTCACATTTTTGTAGCAGATTCGATACAAGACAAACAAAGTCTGAATAAAAAGGAGTTATAAAGTAATAAGTTAGGGTTGGGAACAGCGTATGCATATTGAAAAGTCATTTTCTTTAAGTAGAAAAGGAGTATCAAGGTTACCGTAATTACTCGAATCTAACGCGCACCTTTTTTCCGGTTAAGCGAGTTCATAAATCGCATGCGCGTTAGAATCGAGTACGAACAAAACAATTACGGTCAATCTATTGCCATCGCAAATCCAAAATGGCCGCCCCCTACGTGCGTCGGCATGGAGCGTCGGCTATTTCTGCCTATGTGTTTACCATGTGCGGCACTTCGTACGTGTGCTGAGGAGTTCGTCATCTAGTAGTGCATTAGCATCGACGACGTGGAAGGGCCGACTCCAAAAACTCGAGTGCACCACGATGCCGTTTTTAAAAGAAAAGTCATCGCGTGTGCAGAAACGGACGGAAATCGGGCCGCATCACGGTCGTTCCCGAAACGTGCGTGCGGGACCGGCGGAAACAAAAGCAGAAGATTGTCGACAGCAAAGCTTCACGCAAAGGCTTCAGTGAACCACAGCATGGTCGGTTTCCGCAAATTGAAGAGCTGCTCCGCGAGTATGTGCTTGAGGAGCGAGCGGCACAGCGGCCCGTGACGACAGAACTGCTCCAAGTGCGGGCTATGCAATTAGTCTTAGAAAAAAGTCTAATGCGGAGCCAGTTTAAAGCGAGCAGGTGCTGGCTAATTAACTATATGAAGAGGAAAGGCTCTTCCCTCCGAAGGGGAACATGCATATGCAAAAACTTTTGCGGAGAAGTACGATGAAAAGCTTTACAGTTTTCACAGGTTCGTCCTAAACTTGCGGCGCAACAACGACTACCTGCTTGGGCAAATCTGGAATGCCGATCAGACGCCTCTTTACTTCGACATGCCTGGCACCACAACTGTCGAGAGGAAGGGGGCGAAGCAAGTTCGCGTGCTGACATCGGTCCACGGTAAAACTACAGTGACGGCAATGCTCTGTTACACGTCAGATGGGCACTAGCTTTGCCCGTACCTCATATTTAAATGGAAGACAATCCCGAAAGGAATCGTTTTTTCGAGTGGTGTGATCGTGCGGGCCAGCAAAAAAAAAAAAAAAAAAGGGTGCGCGTTGCAATCGATGTCTTACGTTTTTTTTTTTTTTTCGCGGTGGAAATCGGGTGCGCGTTACAATCGAGGGCGCGGTAGAATCGAGTAAATACGGTACGTGTTTTTTATACTTTTTATATATTTCAAAGGACCCATGATTCTTTATTGAATATGTGTACCCTTTCTTTCACAATAAAATGTTCGCTTGTTGCTCTTAGGTGCTTGTTCCTCCTCTCGATTAAAATACTTGTAATGCATTATGCATAACAGTTTATCTCGGGTTCATTACCTGCAGACTTCGTATGCTTGTGGCTAAAAAAATATCTGCATCTTTGGGACATCTACTTGTTAATTGCGTAATGACGGTCTTGACTCTGGGCAGGTTTGATGCCTTTGGGTAACACATGAAGGCTTACTGGTTAGCTGCTTACTCAAAGTTCATGTATTAGATGTTGGTGTTGGGCAAAAGGATCTTCTGCATCTGTTACCATGGCAACAAGCTCTATTGGCTAACATTCTCTTGGCTGAGGAAGTGTTAATAAGGGGTAGCAAACAAGCCAAGAAACAATTTAAGAAAACTTTTGTGTAGCACCAGTAATTGCGTCCAGTTCACTGGGTTGTCTTTCATATAAGTACATCTACACAAATATCCAAGAATGTAAACTGAAGAAGAGTTGCTGCAACTGGGCGAATGATAGTGAATACTGCATAATACAGATGTAGTGGTTTCCACCAACAGCAAATTGTTGTGTTGTAGACTGATTTGTGCGTGTCAACTAAAAATTAAAAATAATTTCTTCTATGCTTTTTCTCACCTTCATAGGTCTGGAACTAATAGAAGCTGTGCCCCTACGTTCTTCTTGTTCATTGTAACATGAGGGTAACAAAATCAAGCATGCAACAAAAAACAAATTAAAAAAATTGTGTAGCACAGTAATCATGGCCAGTTCAATCGATTGCCTTTCATGTAGATGCTTACCATCCTCAGCCAGTTCTTCAAGCTCTGATGACGTCCTCGATAGACCCGATTTCGATGTTTTTGCACCTGCTGGTTCAGCGACTTCCCCTGGGGCGTCGTCCGTCAGTACAGCCTCGGAGTAAACGTAATCTGTGGGAGACGTGAAAATAAGAATAATTAAATATTTCTCGTGTCGCGTACCCTTAAGTAAAAGTACTGACAAAACAAGCACACGCTAAATTGTTTTCAATGGCTCTACCGGCGAATTTGACTGGTGAACAACCTCTGTAGCTAGAAAGCAGCTACGGCCACTTCACAATAATATATATTTGCTGGTTGTTCTTGTGTTGTCCGATGGAAGTGTTCCTCGTAACACTGCCACGGGAATATCAAAGCACGTACCGTTGCTTGAATCGTCAGCGTTGGACGACTTCTCCACTGGAACATCCCGCGGCGCAGCCAGCACACCTCCAACCTGCATGTCGATGTAAGGGTGCGGGCTGGACAGGGGGCGAGGAAGCTTCCATCCTTGCATTTGCTCGGCGCACGTAATGTCGAGGGATAGCAGGAGGCGCGGATACTCCTGACACAGCCGCTGCAGTTTCTGCTGAAGTTCCGTTTTCGCCGACGACGCGGCTGGCGACAGCGTCTCATTGTGCAAATCTACGCTCAGGAATGTGTTGACATCTGGAATCAAAGAAGCGAGAAGTCATCACTATGCGCAATCGCCGAGGTTATAGATTCAGTGCCGCGAATCGTCACAAACTGTTCAAACCTGCTCAACCTCACCACACCCCGCTACGAATGCGAGTGCGCATTTGACAGACCTTTAACGAAATCCCGCACATGATCGTTGAACTTCAACATAACGAAGCCGCAAGCTACGTAGATCGACGGCGCTTGGTTATGAACTCGACGTCATCTCTTTGCAGGAACGCAATGTGCTGCGTGACTGTGTGTCAGCGCGCCTACTTGATAGCGCATTTCCTCTCACTCCTCCCCGATCGTAACGTGCCCGCAACGGAAGACGATAACACGAAAACAAAACCTGCAAATGTTTACCGGTTCTGAGCTAAGCCGTGCTATCGTATCACGCTCAGCGTTTGTTAGATTATAGACGCTTAACGTAATAATGTAATAAATATTTAGTTTTATTATTGAAATAGTATGCTTAACTTTCTAAATAAATACATTGTGCAACCTGTGTAATAAATTTTTCAAGACAAAGGCTTAAAAAAGTTTTGTTGCAACAACGCCTTTATAAGCGTCGGTGGTATAGTGGTTAGCATAGCTGCCTTCCAAGCAGTTGACCCGGGTTCGATTCCCGGCCGACGCAAAATTTTTTTTTCTTCTTACCATTTGACTAAATCAGTTCTAAATAATCCAGGAAGAGTGGCACCATCACCTTAAACCCCATTTGAGCTGTTCTACAGAAAAGTAGAAAGTAGATTACATTTCTAAGGGTGATGAGGAAGTCGAGCACATTTCACATCTACATGAATTAAGGGAACACTCAATGCTTCCAGTCAGCAAAATATAGGCTGCATTATTTAAATTTAAGTAGATAGCTATAACTCCACAGTGCTAAGAGTGCACAGGAGAGAGCTTCCTGAAGGTGTCCTATGGTATATAGCAAGGCCTTTGAACATTCCATCTCAAATCCATGCCGAAAAATGCCCAATCGTAGACACAGAACATATAAAGCTTTTTCGCTGTCACTTCAATTGAGCAGGGTTAACTAGGTTCTACACGTCTTCTAATCTTGCTAGGGGGCTTCCCTTTCCCAAAACGGCCTGGTATGTCCTCTAAATGTAGTGAGCTTTGATATCAATGATTTAGACAGGCAAGAACTTTCTTGGGTCCTGAGAAACGCTACTCCTTTAGAGCAACGTCGCGGGCCGCTCTCACGTAGGAACGCGGAGGCCTAGCCTCACCGCCGCATCGTGGGCTCTCTGGACAGCCCGTAGTTGTGAGCAACTCTGAACGTCGTAAGGCAGAGTCCCAATCTTCTTCTGTGAGCCGACTTGGGCCCCGTAACAAGGGGCACTGCCAAAGCGTATGTGCTAAGTCACTAAACTCACCACAATCAAGTAGAGTCAAAAGCCTCTGAGGATACTATGCTGAGGAAAAATAGGCTTGGATAGGACCTGGTCTGGAGCATTCTAAACGTGATGGCCTTAGGTCTAGACAACTTGTTGTGCGGAGGAGCAAATGACCGCCTATTCAACTGGTAGTGTTTAGCCACTTCATTGAATATTATTGAAGCGTCCCTAAACATCTCACTGCCAACCTGCGGACCTACGTCCTCCCCAGCGTGGAGGGTCAGTGCGCGCGCCCGGGAGTGAGCAGTGCCATTCAGGTTCACTAGAGAGTCCAGTAGGGGTTCGAGATGTGCAGGAAACCAGGTAACTGTATGTGGAGAAAGTGCCCTATTTTCAAGTAGTTTAAATACTTCAGTACAGACGGAACCAGAGGCGAAAGCCTTGACCGCTGACCTTGAGTCGGTGAAGAATTGCGATCTACTGTCATCCAAAAGGGCAAGGGCTACAGACAACTGTTCGGCTCTTGAGGGAGTATATAGAGTTCCTAACTGACGCAGCATTGATAATGGAACCCAAATGATTGACGGAAATAACAGAAAACCTAGCTGAGCGACCGTACTGAGCGGCATCGACAAAACACACTGAATGAGGATCGTTCCTGATGTTCTTCAGAAGTGTGATGGCCCTAGCCCGGCACCTTCCTACGTTGTGCTTATCGAGGATGGATGATTCGCGGAAACGGAGAGACCTGGATGGCAGTACGCTGTTCATCCGGCAGTTGAAGATGGTGATCCTCTACGAGCGCCGGACTGAGGCCTAGGACGGACAGAATCTTCTTACCAGCCGGCGTGGAGGACAGGCGCATTAGCTGTGCAGTCTCTTGGGTTTCAATGATCTCATCTATGGTGTTATGAACTCCTAGCTGCATAAGCCGTTCAGTGCTTGTTCGCCCGGGAATGCCCAACACCCTCTTTACGCTTTTTCTGATCAGGGTTTCCAGCTCCTTCTTTTCGAATCCATACCAAGAGTGTGCCTGGCAGCAACGTACTTTATATGACTCGTGAGGAATGCATGAAATAGCCTCAGTAGATTGTCCTCTCTGAGTCCCCCCTCCTGTTCGAAACCCTATTAATCAACCTGATCATGTTCTCGGTCTTGGTTGAAATCTTAGCGATGGTTTGTCCGTTGTATCCGTGTGACTCTATAATCATGCCCAGCACTCTAATAGCGTCCACTCTCGAAATGGGGGCGCCACTTCCTGTATGAAGTACGATGTCTACCTCTGATAAAGGCTTCCAGTTTTTTGGTCTGGCTCCTTTTCTACTGGGCCTGTATAAAAGTAGCTCCCCAACTCCCGCTGAGTGCGGTCGCTCGCGGGCCGCGCTCGTCAGGAGTACGGCTCTTCCGCAGCAATGCGTTCGCGCCCCGGCGTCAGTGACGGACTTCTACCCTGAACTGCGGTCAGAACTGCTGTGGGATAACCTGCCATGGATTGCCCGGAACCCCCCACACTTCACACTGCCGGTTAGTGAATTAATTCCCTTTCACTTCGCGTGTTGTACGCGGCCGACCAGCGTGTGTCGTGGTGTAGGGCCACGGCTCATAGCGCGTAGCATAGACGCGCTTTCGCCGCCCCTGTGCGTGCGGTGCACGGGCGCTTGAGTTATCACGAACAGCTAGTGCCTATTACGCGTGACCACGCTATTAGGCAACCACTCCTGTCCAGTAGTGCAGCGTGCGCGTATTTTCCTTTTTTTTCCACAATATCACGAACATTGACAGTGACGCTTCCCAGTCCTTCTTAGTGCAACCGTTTTTCTTTTTTTTTCCTCTCTCTTGCACTAATTGTGAAGTGTTTTCTTGAGCGGTGTCGTGCATCCCTGGGAACTCGTGCGCGAGTGTGACCATGCATTCGCCTAGGCACAACTCCGTCCCCGACGCCCGCTCACCCATCGCGGCATCCCCCTCATCAGCAGACAGCGCTCCAGTTGCTGCCCGAACTTCTGAGGAGCCCACGAGGCGCCCTTTTTCTCGCCGAAGATCGGAGAGCCTCCCGACCAACAAGGTGCAGGCACACCGCCATCTATTCTTTGAAAAGATAGCGACAGAAAACATTCAAGCCATAGTGGAAAAGTGGCTGCAGGCCAACCCTGTCGCGCCCACACAGGCCCCCATGCCGGCCTCCCAGTGCGCCAGCGGGGCCGCACCTGCCATCAGTGCCACCGGAACTGCAGAGGAGCCGCCACAAAGCCCCATGCAGAGCGAAGCTCCTGGGCAGACACAGGGGCCTGCTGGCGTTCCCCTACCTCTCAGCTCTGATGAGGACGACGAGTCAATGGACTTCTCCAACTCACGGAAGAGGCTGCGGGAAGAGAGTGGGGACGAGGACGACCACGCACCACGAAAGCAAACGGCCACTACCCCCTTCGAATCCTCCGACGAGGAATCACACGCTTCTCAGGGCTCAGAGGAGATGTCCGGGAGCGAGTGCAGAACCACGGTGGATTCCGAAGGGGCGTCCACCACAGCGGACATGACATCATCTGCCACAACAGGCGGCCCGGACCCAGCGAACTCGGATGGTGCAGGCACTTGCACACTCCCTACTACCGCCTCAACGACGACTCTCCCCCCACACAGAAGGACTGCCCTCGCCAGCAGCCTCTCCCCAAGGAGTAGAGAGCACTCTACCTGCCCCTGCAACAGAAGGGACCACCGAATCTCCCGACAACCCACCCTCTGACGCTTCAGCTGCCATGGAGGTGGTCGAAGAGGTTCTTACTCGTACCGCTACAGAGGGCAACACCCGAAAGGAAGCCCCTTATACGGCGAAAGACTTTCTCCTCACATCGTCAGCCGGGGCCACACATACCAACCGCAGAAAGAAGGGAAAGAAGAAGCCGACCAAGAAGCAACCCCCGGTTACTGCATCGGAGGGCACAGCTGCCAACCTCCCCCAACCTTTCGGCAAGGCCCCCACTGCAGTGGACACCACTAGGAAGCACAGCAGTGCAGCGGGGAGTCCCCCAGACAGAGGGCTTCCAGTTGGTCACTACCAGAAGTGCCCGACGCCGTGCCAGGGACCTTGCTGCTGCTGCGGCCCTCCCGGTTGACCCTGCCATTGTGGGCACAGTTCTCTTCCAGCCGTCAGCCCCCCGAGGTACCTTCAGTGGATCCCCACGCCTGATCCTCGCACAGGCGCTCTCTGCAAGGCCCGGCGTGGCCGCGATTCGCGTAAACCAAAAACGCAACATTGTGGCTGCTGACGCTACCACGCGAGAGTACCTGGAGCAGCTCCTGACCATTAAGGAGCTAAAGGGGATCCCCGTCACTGCCAAGGAACCCGCTGACCACAAGACCAGCACGGGGTTCCTACATGGTGTCGACGGGGAGCCTGCGGCGGACAGCCTGCTGCCTGGGGTCCAGTCGGCCGTTCCGGTGCTCTCTGCTGCCAGGGAGGGGCGAACCGTGACGCTCCGCTTCGCCGGCCCTGTGCCGCCGGAGCACGTGTCACTCTTCTTGATACGCTTCCCAGTGCGGCCAGCCAGACCCCGCCCTCTGCAGTGCCGGCAATGCGGTCGGTTCGGCCATGTGAAGGAGAGCTGCAGCTGGCCAGGCAGCTGCATCAGATGTGGCCGGACCCACCCAGGAGAGAGCTGCAAACAGACCCGGCCCCGGTGTGTCAACTGCGGGGGCCCTCACTCTGCAGACACCCCGGAGTGCCCCCGGTGGCAGGAGCAGCGGAAGGTTGCCACAATCATGGCATCTTCCCCAACCATCCTCTCGAGGCGCGCAGTGGCAGCGGCGGTGCGAGAGGAGATTCAGGAGGCGCGGACCTTTGCAAGCGTGGTGAAGGGCCACCCTGCGCCGCCCATCCTCCGGCCAGACCCATCCCGCCGCCTCGCAAATCTCGCCGCCAGCCACTCCAGGGACTGCAGTCCACCGGCACTGCTGCCCCTATGGCCCTGCCAGCG